TTGCACTGCTCAACACCACAATACTTGTGGGCTCTGGCGACACACTCCAAGTTACTCATTCTTCATTTCACAACGCACAGCACATTCTCCAAACTAAAAGCACACACACACACCCACAGCACACTCTCCAAACTAACACAAAAACTCCACCTCACAACAGTCCCCTCTCCAAAATTAAAGTTCTGCCATTGGCTAAGTAAGCATCTAGACCGAGTGCTTCAAAATATGTGGTTACAGAGTCAGAGTTGATGTTCTCTTCGAACATCTGCAAGGTGATGTGTCCATCATCGGTGGCCCCCAGCCGTCCGAAAAGCTCTTGTATTTTCCGAACATGCTTCTCTTTGTTCATCAGCATGTTCTGCATAAGTGTAACTTGGTCGTTCTGTGCAGATTCAATGGCTGACCTCGACCACGTTACATGTTGGATCTTGCCGTCATCATGAAGCATGCGTGTGCGCAAATGGTTCATGAAGCTCAAAACATTGCTAAATCGAGTCAATGCACTGGCAGAACACCGCGGTCACCACCTCAAGCTCAAGCATGTTAGTTTTGCTACGAAGACACCAAAGCGGGCGAAACACAAACGGAGGCCTGTGAAACGACCTTTGTGAACATACAGGCGGCAAGTTGAACCATGGATTTAGATAAATGGCCGTGGAAAACTTAAGCATTGCTTCATCATGTGCCTCACAGCTGTGCAAAATGTGCCATGGGGAAACTGAGGTCTGCTCGTTTAAAACAGCAAAGTAGGTGAAAGCTATATATCCAACATAGCAAATAACCCAGATGGCTGATATCTCCCTGAGCGGTGCCAGAGCTTGCTCCCAGCTGACGCCACCAGCCAAGCTCATGAAAAGAGTCAGCATACTGTCCACCAGCGAACCAAAATACCGCTGCGCAGCATCTTGGTGGAGCAAAGCAGTGTTGCTATCAGCTCTGTAGTCGCTGACCGCTTGCGTAAACAACACCGCAAAGACCTCGGACATATATATATATAGAGTTGTAGAATATCAAAGACCTCGGACAGTCTCGTACAAACATGTTTTCAAAACCATCGAAAGCATCGAATTGAGAGGGACATTATGTTGCAACGACAAACTCGCACGTGCTTGCATAGCTTGCAGGAATTGCGGCAACTGATCCAAATCATGGTTTGGAAACCCAGACCATGATTTGGAATGTCATGACATGGCCGTGTAGCGGAATGCGGTGCGTCCGAAGTCTGCCAGATGAGATCTTGCACCCTGGAGGGCATGAAAAACATGACTTTCGACCATAGCATCCAACAGAATTCGATCGCCTTCCTGGTGTGGCGCCACGGCGGTAGTGTGCTGACGTTGGTGCAGATGCAGAGCGACCGGATCGTTTCCCTGATTTTTGAGGCATCAGTCACGTCAATACCAGCTTCTCAAACTCACCGTGCGGATGTTGACTCACATGGAGAATCACAGGTGACTCAAAGGTTGGCAGCAAACCAATACTCTGTAATGTACCCCTGATTAACTCAGTTCGGCTGAGTCCGACTTCTAGTGTGTTCCGCCCAATGAAGGGCTTAGCATGACCATGAGGGTTGTTTTTCACGACCTGGCTTCGCTTGGCAGATCTCCGACAAAGAACCTTGCTGTACTTACCTGTACTGGGCTGTGGGCTGGCAGTTCGCCCGAGACATCAAAGATGACAGCAAGGGCCCCTTTCTGTGGCGGTGGTGAACTTTGGTTGACCGCGGAGTACAAAAAGGCAGAGCTTCGGAGTGCAGGCTGAACGGCTTGTTCATATCCTGGCCCTGCTGAAACCAAGCGAATAGTCTAGCAAGAGTCTAGTACGGCAGAACATGGCAAGGATCGAGCGGGCCTCGGTGGGCGAGAAACGACACAGTGTCTAAGCCTGAGATTTTTTTGGCTTCAGAATCGTCAATCTCAAGTCGTAGTTCGCTTGAGAACCGAGCTCAAAGTCAAACGATACCTTAAATTGACGCTTTCCAGGTCAACGGGCATCGAGCCGAACAAAAGCACCAAAGATGCAGTCCGAGCTGTGGTGTGTCTGCACTCTGCACTCGGATGATGGTAGGGCCACGGCGTAGACGATCAACACCAAGAGCGTCATAGCCCAGACCAGTGCTTTGAGAGTGTGGAGGATCGATGTGATCAGCACCCGCAGCGCTATGACGAAGCGGAAGATGCTGACAAACTGTGCGGTTCTCAAGATGCGGCTGAGCCGTACTATGCGGAAAGACTTCAAGCCGCTGACGCCGGCAATGGCATCAAGGTCAGAACTTCCTGTGTCAGACAACACAACACACGAAGGATCACGCTGGTAAGTTAGAGAAGAATACATAAGCTAAATAATGGTCCCCCGAAAGCCCGCAAACTGAAATAATATACATGGCTGTTGATCCAAATTGGTTCATCCCGGAATGACCTTCTTCACGAATATCAAATTAGCTTTCGCGCCACCATCGCGGAACTTTCGCGAAGGCATATCTACATACCTTTGCAAGCTAGAACCCTGAGTTATAAGCTATAAGCTTCGCGATGACAAGTTGGTACGGGCATTCTATTTAAGAGCTTTGGCAGGCATCCTAGGCGTTTCAGGGCTGCGTGAAAGCTACAACAATTGGAAACGGTTGGTTAAGGCAGTCTGAAGCCGTCTTAGGGTTTAGATTATTGACAAAGTTTCCTGAAAGTTTCTCGATTGCAACGCTTTTGGTGCCTCAATTGATTGAGAGTTTCGGGAGCCATTTCCGTACCAATGGAAGATTGACAAGCTTTCTTCATGGGACTATTCCAGGGGTCTGAGGGCTCCTAGTCGCCGGCAGAATGTCCATTGAGGGGTGGCCTTGATCCGGCTACGTCGACTTTAACGTCACTTACGTGGAAGTTATGCGCTAAACCCTGTACTGGAACCGAATTTTCGGGTTTGTCGTTGATAAGGTTGTGGGTAGTAGGTATGGCAGGTCGTGGTAATAAGTGGAGACTAGCAACAGTAGCAGTAGCAGCAGTAGTAGCAGCAGAAGCAGCAGTAGTAGTAACAGCAGCACAAGCTGCAGTAGCCAGAGCATGAGAATAGTAGCAATAAGAATAATAGCAACAACAGCAATATTAGCAACGACAGTAGTAAGAATAATACCAAATAAAATGATAAGAAGGAGATGGTGCTCATAGTACTCAAAATAGTTATGAAGATAATAGTGATAATAGTAGTGCTAGTAATACAAGTAATAATCGTAACAGTAATAACAATTTTCACTATAGTCATAGCAAAAGCAACAGTAATAGTAATAGCGATGAGTCGTAGTACTAGCAACAGAAACAGTAATAGTAATAGACATAGTGCAGCAAGTAGGCCAAACAGATAACTTTTGCAGAAACAAAATTAACTTCAGCGGCACCTTTGCGGAACTTTCGCGAAGGCATATTTAGCTATGCAGTTGGCCGTTCATATAAATAATGGCTCAAGGAGCTTTAGATCAATTACCACATACACAATCAGACACATGCAAGCTGTAGCTGTAACAAGATACTACAAGATACCAGCCTGTGATGTCCACAACAACTTCCCAGAGAGAGCTCAAAACAATAAAGAGATCAAGCCAGCTCCAGGCCCAATCTTCAGAGCAGAAGAAGTGCAAGCCGTCTGCCGCCAAGCGCAGCAGCAGCTCAACTGTGAATATCGCCGCATAGAGGTACTGAATGACACGGAACTCCGTCGGGCGTGGATCACCATGATCCACACTGCGTTGCACATCGATTCCTATGAAAACGGCGTTTGTCACCACGACGAAAGCAAAAATAGACTCGAAGAGTGGATGATGCACCATGTGCCAGATGCAGCTGTGGCCGCCGTACCACGGCTCGAATCCCTTTTTTGCGTGTGTCGGGCTGCCTGCCATTGAGAACGTTCGTCGCATTTGCGTTCGTCCACCGGCAGTGCGCACCGTCTCTCCAGTGAAGCCATTTCTTGGTGGCGAGATTTCGGTCTTAATTGGCTTTATTGGACTCACTGGAACGGATTGAGATTCGTCTCCCTCCGTCTTGGGTCGGCTCATCCTGCTGCCCATGCTGGTCCTCCTGTTCAGAGTCAGGCCTCTCAGCACTTCGTCTTGGAAGTCCAGTCGGCGGATGACCTCCTCGTGCTGCTGCCTGCGGCAATGAGTGAACTCAGGGCCGTGTCAACTTGAGACGCGACTTTTTCTTTCAGCATGGCGGGCCTGAGCAGCTCGGGCAGGGCCGAAGGGGCGGATGGACGCTCCTCGCCCGGCAGCGGCTCGGAGGGAGCCAGGGGCACCGTCATGCCGTCTGCGGGCGAGGCAGGATCGATGCGAAGGCCGAGAGAAAGGGCTTGAGAATGCCTGTGCTTACGTTGTCTGGCTCAATTATTCTTACGCCACTTATGTCTATGCATGTGGCTTTGCCCGAGCTTGCAACATAAAAACCTTTGCTCTGGCTGTGGGGTAGGCCGGCATTCTGGCTCCTGCTTTGTTTTGCGTTCATGTCCTTTCCTTGATTCTGGGATAGGCTGCAGTTTTGTTCCAAGCTGTCCCAGGTCGAACGGTTCTGTTTTGGAGAAGTATCACAGTTGGTGGTCCATGGTCAGTGGCATGCCCTCCCTTTTCCCCTGCTGTCCACAAAGATCATCTCGGCACAGAGTTCCAGATCTTTCGGGTCTTGGTAATCGAAGATGTCAATCCTTGCAGGGGCGTTCAAAACACGCACACCCTGAAAGATGTTCTTAAGCTAGTAGCAGCTAGTGAGGTGATCTGAGGAGGCTGCAGGATTGCCTTTTTGGTCCGCTGACCCAGCTCGTCAAAGAGCACCTTGTCTCTGCCAAGTCTCTGCCTATTTGCCAGACGACCTGTGCCTTGTATGATGGGCACCACTCTGACATGCACACAGCATAGACAACCTTCGGAGGCTTGGCTCACTTACTTGCGTGGCTTCACACTCCAACGACATGCTTCCTTTCCCTCCTTTCCCGGACACGGCACCTTGACCTCTTGAGAGTTCAGTTTCTTGATAAGCCTGGCGAAAAGGGGGGGGCAGCCGCAGGCTCTGCTTACATGTGTACCATTGTATGATGTTGGGCAGAATAGGAGCGCACAGGCATGCTTGAATCCCTTGCAACCCATCCAGCATGCCACGAAGGCTACCAGTTGCGTCCTCGTCATCAGGAACTTCTTGCATCTCTTGCCTAAAACATTCGAGGCACGATTACTTGAAGCTCTGAGGGCTTCTTTGATGAACTCCTCGGCATGACTTTGCTACTTGCCGGTTCCACCTGCACACCCAGGCTGAGCTAAGGCTCAGGCCGATGTCAATGTTCGGGTCAAAATACCCACCCTGGGTGAAACGATGTAAATGTCGCGTACGGACAGTCAGTTATCTGCTGTGGAGTTCACGGGCTTAAAAGCATTCGACTGGTGACTGTCTGTTCAGTCCCATCTGTTCGGCATTGGGCTCCCATCACGAAGCTGAGTTGCAGCTACATTATATATCCCCACCACTCCGTGTTTAACATCCCAAAATCCAAAGCTCGAGGGCTACAAATCCAGGTCCCCTGGCCGCATGGCCCTTCATGTCCGCTGCATCGTCGGATGCAGCATCCTCCAGCACCTGCAGCGAAAGGAGGTTCTAGTTAAAGGCACTGAGCTGCCGGCACCCGACACGACTGTGGCATACTGGGACTGGGAAAGCTGGACCAAGCTCGAGCATTCTGTGTCACTGCAGCGTCACCTACGACGTCTGGGCTGCGGTTTCTGGAACGTAGATTCACTCACTGCTACCAGCTTCAAGTGGAGCACTCTCTGGAAGAGCCCTGCCTTCACAGTGATCTCCTTCACGACCTTGTTCAAACGAGTCGATGGTCCGAAACGGGCTACTTGCAGATGCTTGCGCTTTGAGGCACAAGGTCCCTTCATCCTCGAGCACAAGCTTCCCTACGGAGGGCAACTCCTTTTATCAAGAGTTCCCTCTCTAGCCCCCCATTCACCCTTCTCTCCCGAACGCGGGGAGCACAATATTCGACACGGCATCATACTCAGATCACCACCTTTGGCGGCAACAGATCTGCGACCATAGCCTGGTCTTCCTGGAGAGCACCCACATTGCAGGAGGATTGCATGAATACCTTGATCATACATTGCCAGGCACCACATCACGAGCAATGCGATGCAGATCGAGAAATCCCCGCCTGCGGAAGTCCCGAAAGCAGCCTTGGACCGTCGCTGCAAGACTGCATTTTATAAGTTGTGGTTGCATTGGGAAGTCAAGCTGCGAAATATTACTGCCTCAGAATGACTGTCCCCGAGTCAGAAAGCTGAGCTTCATAACCAGCCCACTGCCGAAATAGTGACAACAGCAGGAAGAGCACCAACAAGAAGAAGAGAGCACCGGCAACCACATGTGAAACCCCAGCATCACCCTCAGCAACGGCGGGTGACGGGCGTCATCATCATCGATGTCCAGAGTGTTAGCTGCATATGACTTCCCGGTTCGTATGCCGCTCATACAATATTATATATAATATAATATATATTATATATTCTAGATTATAGAGTATATATTATATACTATATATAATTAATTGTTATATGAAGTTCGGAAATTGCCCTGTGAGGAGCTTCTGCGCGGCGCCAAGGCGGACTTTCGGAGGGCCAAGGGAGCCATGGTCTGAAGCCAAGAGCTCCTGAAACATGGCTCGTCTTCGTCTTTAGGGGTTTAGGGGTTTAGGGTGTATTTGTGCTTGAATTCTGGATTTGAAGTATGCACATGTTGTGGGGTTCATTGCGGGGCAGCCTCCAGTTTGTACAGGTTCGGGGAGGTTTGCCAGGCTTCCTTTGCAAGGGGTATCGAACGGTTTCTGGGGCCCCGAGATATCTTATCAAAATGCAGCCACAGGAAATACTTTGGGATCATTGCTCAGAAGTAGGGCATCGTTCTACCTCACTGCCTGCTCTTTGCACGTTGAAAGCTTGGCAGGTTGTTGTCACCATCCTGCGGCCCCCTCAAAACATGATCTCGCAAGGATGTCCACATCAAGGGAAGGCGTTGGGAGACCAACACAAGAAAACAGATGATCATCAGCTTCAACCTTGCCAAACAAAGATCGTCTGTGAGCCTTTCGACGCCAGAAGATCTGCAAATACACGGAAAAACATCGGGGAAGATCTCAGACCAATACTCATCAATAATGACCACTATCAATTTCTCCTCCTCGAAATCACCGCTATGGTGCACGGCTTCAAGCCCCTAATCTCCCCAGGCTGCCTTCATCAGATTGGGCCGTGTGTCGTCGACCAGAGCCTGCCCGAGTTCCGTGCATCTCAGGCAAGCACTTCTTCCCGCCAAGAGGTAAAGGTCGAATTGCCGGTTTTGAGGGATACTCGGCTGTGAGCCAGAGATTCACTGGCTTGAGGTGCTGGGCCAGGTATGAAGCCATCCCCTTTGCCGTCCGAACCCAGGATCTATTGCCAGATTGGACAGAGGACGGGCATGACCGGCCTTCATGATGTCTGCTGTCTTTGTAACCTGCAGGGAATGCGAGCACGACGACTGCACGGCTTCATACACTTTTCCCTACAGGGCATGATGCGGCAAAGCGCAAGTCCACGCCTGTGAGCTTGGACATCCTTTCAGAAGGCTCAGCGCTATGGTGAACTGCTCCTTTCATTCCGGCAGCAACGTTACAGCTACTCGTTGGGCCACTTGGGGACTGTGGACTGTGATGATTCCCTGATGCGACTAAACCTCTGCACGTGGATCCGACGCTTGCGCGATGCTGCGGATGCCAAAACATTGCCAGCTCCCGTCCTGGATGTTGAATCCCTGCTGGGTAGAGGCCACCATGTCAGCCATATCGGCAAATCTTAGAGCAAGGTTGGTGGGGAAGTCACCATCGCAGCAAAGAGAAACCGCCGGGGTGCAGACTGCTTGGATCCTTGCTTCCCCGACATGGACAGGGAGGTCCTGTGCCGCGTTGAAAGGTTTGGGAATTGAAAAACGGAGCCTCGCGGCTGGGGCCCCTGGCGCCAAGTCGACTTCCTCTGTCTTTTTGCTTTTCTCCGCTGCCTCGGTGCCGGCGGAGTCCGAGGACCGCGAGCTTCCCATTCGCTCAGAGGTCCTCGCTTTCTGCGCCTCCTTCAGCTTCGTCCTCATTGCTTCCATCTCCTCCCAAAAGCCAGGCAGTCAGAGATCTCTTGGGCACCAGGCCTATCATCGCGGAACTTGATAAGGTTGCATCCCGCCTGTTGCTGCTCTTCCCTCATCTTGGCCATCTTCTCCCGAAGAAATGCCGGCTCCTCGCCGAAGCGTGCGCGTTTTCCAAAAATGGTTTGCGAGTTAAGGAACAGCATCGTGAGTGAGTGTAGAGGTTGCGCTCGTTGCATCTGAACACTCCCATCTCAAAGCTGCTCCTTGATCAGCTGTTCCTCGGTGACTAGTTCACAAAGCCGGGCGAACTCCGGACAAAGTTGCATAATTACAAGTGGCACCTTACTGAGTAGTGTATGCAACCCCTCGACGGTACTGCGTGTGTACTCTGATGTTGACGTATTCCACCCAGAGAAGCTTGGATCTGTGGTCCAAAGGTTATTTATTTATCTTGACATCATCTCTATTCTGAGCTTCCCGGCTGCCTTTTCTCGCCAATCTGCTGCTTCAACCTGTGACTCCTGCAGCGCTTCGAAAGTTGCGAGCTGAGTGGCCAGGACCAGTTGACGTAGCCATGGCATCACGTCTGTATCCCAGGAGTCTTCATCATAAATCTCAAGTGGCTAGATGTGGCTAGGGCAAGATGAGTCAAGGTTCAGGATCCATCTGTCGGCCGGAGGATCTGTATATCTGTAGATCTGCACTTTGGGTCACTTGAAAAGGCTCCTCCAGCGACTGCTCCAAGTCCTTGTTCAAAGACTCCGACTCCTGCCTGGAGTTACTCGAAAGGAGTTCTGATGTCGGATTGCATCTACAGGCAAGAAGCAGTCAACTTCGAACCCTCGCGATCTATCAATCGACGAGTTTCCTGATGGTGCAACTGAACTGATGGCCATCATGGCCCCAGGCCCTAGATGCCAGTCATTGCACTGCCAAGCTCGTGGCCACATTCGGGTCGTCTGCATCAATGCCTGCAGAGCTAATGCAGGGTCGCCAGCCAAGAGACTCCAATTGTTTCTCTGTCTTCAGCTCAATGCTTCAGCTGTCCAGCCACTGGTGACTTTTTCAAGCCGCAGGCTGTTCAGGCCAGGCATTTGTCCGGCTGCTTACGAACTACTCATCTGAGTGCTACAGTATGCAACTGCCTGCATGGTGGTACAATCTACACATCTTCTGCATTACATCGCAGGCCGAGAAAGTACGGCAATTGACTGAACAACAAGCGTAAAACAAGCAGACTGATGCATCTCACTTCTTCTCCACGTTGCCTGGCTGTCTTGCGACAATATTGGTGCTACGCAGTTTGGAGAGAACGCGAAGCACAGAGAAGTCCTCCATGCAATTCTGCGTCTCACTGCGAAATTTCTACTTAGCCCGTCGCAAGCGTGCCAAGGGGAACGGTTCTTGGCCAAGGCTCCGAAGAAGCTCTTGATTCCGGAGAGCCGACCTGAAGGAGCTGGGCTACGTGTCACGCGGAGAGAGGCAGAGGCGAAAAGGCAAAGCCGCAACACGCCGCTTCCCGCCTTGCTCTGCCTCACGATGGGCTACCGCGAGGTAGACCATGGCCAAGCCAACGAGGCAAATCACCTTTGTGGGCTTTGAAGCGTGCAGCTTAGCTCCAGGCCTATGTCGTCCCTGCAACCACCTTCTACTTACAATTACAACGTAACGGCCTTTCCCTCACTGCCCGCGCTTGATTCATGGTTCTCTTGCCTACGAAAGGCATAAATCCCTTTCCCCAAATCTCGATCTTCTGTCGGGGGTAGGCGTTTTCTCTATTGCTCCTCGACTTGAGACACGAGCCGCCGATACTCCTCGACCCCAGAGCTCAATCCAATGAGCCCAGAATCGCATGGACCTGGAAAGCATGTAAGTCCTTCCACCCATTTCCGCCAAGCCAAGGCGCCGCCCGAAGCAGGAGATCCCAAGGCAGAGTCGTTAGCTCCTGCGCCTGCAGCTGAACAGCCATGCACGCCAATTCGCGTGAGACCTCCCATGACCGCACAAATCAGCTTCTACGCAATACTTGCTGCAAGAACGGCGTTGTCTCTGGAACCTCGCGTTAGCCTTTGGCCGCTAAGCCAATCTTCCCTCACATCTTTGCGAATGGCGTTGGCCTGCCCACGCAGAGATGGGATGGGCCGTCCTGGTGTAATCCTGGAAATTGCTGCAGAGCGAATTGGCTGAGGTCGGTGGCTGGGGGCTTCAACAACCTGCCAGGGAAAGCCTCTCGAAGAATGTTTGAAAGATGGCTCGGAGTTACGATCTGGATGTCGGATCACTGTTCGAAACAGAACTCGTGCAGCGGAGTTTCACTGATAACCCCCCTGAAGGAACTTGAGCGCTTCTCCTCGCGTCCAGCTGCGGCCCAAGGCCTGGCGGTCGCTGTGCCCCGTCATGTCCCGTCCCCAGCCCCCTCCTGTGCCTAGCGGAGACTCCACAGCTCGCATCTGCAAGCCGAGGCCTGGGTCCAGCTCAGAGCGCGAGTCTTCGCGGCGACAGAGATCCCCCCGCCTCTGCTAAAGCCCTCTTGGGTGCCTGTGAGCTCCACTGATGCGACACCTGACGTAGCAACAGCGAGCAGAAGTCTGCCGCCAGTCAGGCAGCCAGCCCCAAGTTCGAATTGCGAATTCAAAGAGTCATGCAGACCCTCCTCCCTTCGGGCCTGTAGCATGCGCATGGCGAGTGGCTGTCAGCTGGGGGCCGAGGCCCATCCCGGAAAGTCTGTCCGCACCGAGGGGTACCTTCCAGGTTGCGATCCCAACGTGCACAAAAGCAGGGCCAATTACAATACCCGTCCAGTCTCAATGAGATGCTCCGGAATCAGTCAATTAAGAAGACCCCACGACTTTCCAACATGTGAAATCTGCGGAGAGTAAGACTTGTGCATCTCTTTCCACAAGGACCGGAGAACGGGCACGAGCCTCGAGAACTGTTGCAGAGGTGTCTGCATGGCTGGAGGTCAGCAGCAGTGCCGGCAAGAGCAGCTGCTGCAACATCCCGTTTATGACCTCGAGCGTTCGGAGGCTGAGGCTGAAGGTGAAGAATTCCCCGCAACCACAATCTTCTGGGCTGTGTCGACTGTCTTGGACATTTGGACATTTGAAGGGCAGCGTCAGCAGCTTGCTGATCAAGGCACAGCTATCGGATAAAGGGAAGTATGGAACAGGCCCGGCAGCTCGGGTCCAATTTGAGCTGTGAATTGCTGCAGGCGCTCGAATGCCACGGAGCTTGCAATCTGGATGTCGCAACCGGGCTGGAGTCGAGAAAGGTGTCTCATACACATCGAAGCGACCAGCACTGAAGCCAAAACTTCCTGTCGTCATATGACACTCCGCAGCCTAATCGGCTGCCAAGAAACAGCAGCCTTCAACACTTAGACACCAAACCCCCTCCCACTGCGCCTCCTGAGCTTGCTTCTCATCTCGGATGTGCTGCGCCATCTCTTGCTTGACCTGCGCTGCGGGTAGGGTCTATAAGACCAGGATGGCGGTTTTTTGGCCATGGTTGGCTTTCGGGGTTAGGGTGCATCATGAGGAGATTGGATACATAGACGGAGCAGCCATAAATTGGATTGGCTCATCCCTACATTGCCCTCCAGGAATGCACGAAAGCAAATGCGTCCACACGTGAGCAGCTTTTGCTGATCGTAAAAGAAACTCACATCAACGTATATTTCATCAGACCACGTTGATTTGGACTGGATACAGTAGCTGTTGTTCGGGAGGCTTGCCAACATTGAGAGTCTTCCGGCGCAGAGCTCACATTTGACAGGTTCGTGCCTTGAGGAGCTCGCCCCCCAGGCGGCTGATCTTCTCCGCATCCTGGTGAGCTTTGCTTAACGGAGGCTGGCTCCGCCAATTTGTTGAATAGCACATGGTCTCGATGAGGGCTCGGGGTACTCGGAAAGCAACAGAAGAAGCATGGCACGGCTGTCGTCGGCCGACTGCTTCAGCATGTCGCCAACCTGCAGATTGCAAGGCGGGTTGATGCGTCGGGAGCTGCAGTCTAGGCTGATGGAGATTGCAGACGATGTGGGCCTTCAGCCCCCTGAAATCTGAAAGGACCTCCTCTAGGGTCACGAAGAACAGCTCCTCACGCCGACAGCACGCAGAGCAGCGCAGAATTGCCAGTCACACTCTGAGGCGAGACGATCCTGTCTGTGCCCTGTAAGCACAAGTTCCCTGAAACGCAGCGCCTGATGTACGTCTTCGATCATGCTGCGCAACGTGCGAACCCTGCAGCCAGCGAGTCTGAACTAGCTGTTTCGGGCTTTCCTCCGAGCAGCTGAAAGCAGATGTAAGCGCTTCACAAGGTGTCAACCTTCACACGGTCCAAGATGTCGTAGAGCATGTCACGGACATCCTTAATGGTCCCCGGTGTGCCCGGCAAAGTCAGATAAAACGCTCACAGTTCCACTCTGCACATGGACTCCGAGTTCCCAACCATCTTCTGGACGCGTGTATTCATCTGGTTCCTAAGTCGCAATCGTGATGTCACAGAGGGTTGTTATGCGTGCGCTCAAAAAGCATCGGCTAGCACGCCTAGCTGCATGCACTGTGCGAGTAGCACCCCTTTTGTAACTGGCACGTTGACTAGATGGGGAAGCACTGCCGACTTGCGCCACCCCGGCAAGCTTTGCAGTGCTTCCTGAGCCCCCACTTGGAGATTCGCCAGTGGTGGCCGGCGAATGTCAGAATGCGGTTTGCCCGGGCAGGACAGGACTGAACTGTATGGAGAAAATGGAATGCCTGAGCAAGCAGCACTTCTGAAGTTTGCCCCTGCATCTGGCAGGAATCTCCAATATCAAAGTCACAAAAAACACTCAAGAAAGACTCATGGAACTTGCGGGCCTGCTTCTTGTCATGATTACGCCTCTATATTCGGGGCTTCTTTGTCCGCTGGAACTTGAGCACGCCCTCGCGCACAAGCTCTTCCAGCCGGTCAAAGTCTCCACTTCCTCGCAGGTGGCCCCACATGCGATGCTCGCGCCACTTGGCGGCTGGCATCACCACCGAACTCACACCAGCCAAGAATTGGGCAACTGCGCGCACAATGGCATCCAGCTCTTCGCAGGGCAAGCTTGGCCAAGCTGGATCACCAAGAAGCCGAAACACTGCCACGGTAACGGTGACGCCTTGGAGGCGCTGAGCCTCTGGTGCCTCTCTCTTCTGGGGTTGGCCCGAGTCCTGGCGATGTAGGACGGGGCGAGCTTGCAAGGGAGTTGCGACTGAAGTTCTGAAGTCTGCACCGAGGGCATATGCCAGAAGACGTCGACGTTCCTCAACACCCCCCGCCATCACCAGGGTCGGATCCTCCAAAGCTGCAAAGTAGGCATCGATCAAGGTGTGCAACGTTGTGTGGGCCGCAGGCAGCTCTGCATCAGGATCAGCTACCCTCTGCCTATCAGATGCCTCTGCAGCTCTCGTCAATGCGATGTAGGAGGCATCCAGCTTCTCGATCGCAGACTCTCTGGCCCGCACATTGATTTGACTGATCTGCTCTGCCCAATCGTCAATCTGAGCTTCTGTTACCGGCTTCCGGACCGTCAGCATGTATCCGTAGTCTGCTTTCTCCACGGAAAACTCGTCTCCACCAGCCTGCCACAGGCTAGTCGAGAGCTGCGCAGCAGTCCCGCCCAGTGTGGCCACAGCTTTCACTGTCTCAACGGTGTAAACTGGCCCCGTCTTCTTCGCCAGGGGTAGCACTTTACGTAGCAGCGGGTCCACCTGCACTGAATCTGCAGCTTGTAAACATGAGGAAAACACTGCATACCATCATCAAAACAGTATACAGAATTGTAGCAGCATAGTTTTCATTCTTTACCAATGCCCACCTCCATAAGTTCTGCCGGATCTGTGCGAAAGAACCGAAGCTTCAACTTGGTCGGGAAGCTCGACATCAGCGTGAGATGGCTACTGCCGTACCTGGACATGGCAGGACGGTTTGGGAGCCAAGGCCTGCAAGCTTCAGGAAAGAAAGACCTTCGCGCTGACAGAAACGTCGCAAAAACCGAGTAGCTACTTGCCATGCTTAAGGCTGCTTTGGTGTTGCTGACTGTTGGTAGATGCATAAAACACCAACATGATGAAAAAGCCCTCTCTGCCCACGATGGCCAGCATGTCGATCCCTGCATCACGAACTGATGGCAAATACGATACAAGAATGCTTCATATTATGTTCATTGACATGTTGTTAGTCAGGCTCATCCAGAGTTTGCCCGGGAAAACAATGCTGTATCGCGAAGAACGATCAAAATGCCAAGAAAGCTCTCTGGCGCAGGCACATGACAACTCGAAGCTCCACAGCTAGTCACCAGGACTGGAAGCAGCACTCGCAGTGTAGAGGCAAAGCCACCACCACCGGTGCAGACACATAGCAGCGGCAACCGCATGCCCTTCAAACACATAGCAGCAATAGGCATGCGACGAAGAGATGCAAACCAAGGCAAGAACTATGAGAGTTTGAAGGCTGCATACTTTTGCTGAGTCATCTCGCGGCCGCTTGCATCGAAGCCAGACAGTGAGCCGCGGAGATGTGTTGCTTTCCTGTTTAGGAATTTTCTGCCTCTCCATTTTATGCGTTTGCTCCGATCCAAGGCTCAGCCTTGGCCTCCCAGATTCAACCAAGGTTCGAGAGCCATGAATGAGATGGACAGGCGAAGATCTTGGATTAGGATTTTCATGCCTTGAACATACCCTCCTGAAATCTGCAACCCGAGCCCGAGGGCCTGCAAAGGTGAGCCAAGACCGAGTGAAGCTCGGTCGTGGAGCAGTTCATTTCCTTCGCGGCCTCTGTCTCATGCAAGCCCAAGCTGTATGGCTTCCATTCGCCTGGGTATGCCGCACACGCAGGTGGGGAAGCGGCGCTGATAAATCGATGAAGCCTTCAACGAAGTCTTCAGGCCCTATGAACTGGGTGCTTCCGCTCGGCTCTACCTCCCTTCCGCACCCACCCCGCTGTCCCCCACCCTACCGCCAGGGAACTCTGAGATGAATGTGTCTCCAGCGTCTCTTCGCTCTTGCCCAAGGCAGCCACGGCATCTTCGCTGAGGAGATGGCGTTTGTAGGTGGTCGAGTCACCTTAGGCAGCTCATGCTTGTCACCGCTTGCATCGTTCTTGCTTAGACAATGCAGCGCCCGGCTTTTCTGACATGGCACCCAACAAGGCCACCAACAGGCGTCGCACGACACTGGCCTCACCAAAATGTAACAGCGGCATCTATTGCAGCCTTATCCTGGGCCAAGACAATGGCAGAGCGTAAATCTGCGTGGTCGAGCCTGCGTGCCGCCACCTCTACCACCGCTTTCCAGCCACCGCATGGCTTGGTAGTCCTGGGCTGTCTATAAAGCTGCGAAACCCATTCGGCAAGCGCCGCAGGTCTGAACGACGAAGCTGATTTCAGATAGGCTGCAGCAGGGAACACAAACAAGTCAACCCGGTACAACATCCGGGGCCATGGACTCATGCAAACGTGCCGAAGCCCACTTGTCAACAAAAACTTGAAGCGCACATGCTCACATCACAGATCCTACAGTCCTTGCGGTTGACCAGGGCCACACACTTTCCTCGCCCTCCATCTCGAGAGCAACGTCCGGTCTCCTGGATGTAGTTCCTTGCAAGGCTTTCGGCAGAGGTTCGCGTCATGAAGAGGACACAGTGTGGCACGAACGCGGCAACGTGGCAGCATGCGTGGCTCAAGGACGCAATTCACCGCCCGGCGACTCCCAAAAAGACATAGCAACCAAAGCAAGGAGGCAATGAATGCCAAATCAGAGGAAGCCAAGGGTCTCAATGCTCTTCGGCAGCCCGAAATGCACCACAAGGCGAATGTCCGGCTTGTCCAGTCCCATTCCAAAAGCCACAGTTGCGACCACCACTTTGACCTGGCAATGACAGGAGGAAGAGCAACAAGAAAGTTTCAGAGTGAACCTACTAGAAAAGATGCGTAGCAAAACGAGAACAGAACTCAGATATGCAGGGATCCGCCGTTTAAGAAAGCCACCTTGCCCGACATGAAGTTCTCCTGTACCGTGCTGCGAACCTCCGCGAGCATGCTGCCATGGTAGGCACATACCCCACCCTTGACATAGGCCCGTAGCTGTTTGGCAAGCTGGTCGGCTGTATCTCGCCTCCAAACATAGATGATCACTGACTCAGCAGGGTTGGCATCATGACGCAGGACCTGGACCAGCTCGCGAACTTGGCTGTCGGCATCTGGGACGCTGCGCGCGTCCATGATGAGGTTCCCGCGCTGGACTGTCGGCTGATTTCTCTCTCGCATGAGCTCGTCCACTGTGAATGTATTGTCGCTGCGAACCACAGTGTCCAGCTGCAGTATGTCACAAACGGACTTTACGGTGGGCCTGGTGGCGGTGGCAGTGAGGGCGAGGATGCGTCGTGCACCAAGGGATTGGACGAGGTACTCGTGTAGTCGGAAGTAATCTGGACGAAAATTGTGTGACCATTCAGAGACACAATGGGCCTCGTCGATGCAAGCGAGAGCAATTGGAGGTAAGCCACAGCCATCAAAGGACCACGTCGCCAGCCTGCGACTTGTGCTCACACATGTCAAAACTCAGTTCGGCTGAGTGTCAAAAATGCCCTGTGGCCTCTCCGGTGACACGAAGAGGACATCAACCAGTCGCGCCCGCACGGCGCGCATGACTTCACGCGCCGAGTCACGGGACTGTTGGCCACTGCAGATGGCACCTCGCCTTAGCATTTTGCAGGTGAGGTGAGACAGACTGCAAATGTCTGCAATGACTATTCCAGCCAAAGTGCAAGCAGCCCGGGAGGCGTGCGAGTTGGTCGGACATAAGGGAGACCAGCGGGGAGACCACAAGCGTGAAACCCTCCTCCCGCAGCCTTAGCGATGGTCACGTAGAAGGCGACAGCACTGTCGACCGCCCAGCCCAGTAAACAGCCGAGCAGCAAGTACGCTGGCAGTTGGTAGCAGAGGGACTTTCCACAGCCAGTTGCCAAAAGCAGCAGTGTCCGATGATTGGCCAGGACAGATAAGATGGCCTGCCATGAAGCTCCCGTCCAAGAGCGGTACCGCAACACTTTGAAAAGAGCGGACAGTCTCATACCGGGGCCTCTCGCTGTCCCTGACGGAAAGCCTCGTGGCCGAAAACCTGCAAAGGCTGCTTACTGCTTACTGCATAGCGCCAAAGACAGCTTGGACCCTTCCGCACGCCAACACGCCTCTTGGAGCACTGTAGTGAGGTCCGATGCGGAGTAAGTCCCAGCTGCACGTTCTTTAGAAGGCAGCCATTCTTGATGCGTAGCTGAGATATCTTCGCCTCGTGCGGCAGCGATAGACTTCTCTACTGGATGCACAGACAAGTCCTATCGGACTGACCGTCCTGCAGTCCGGCACCTTTTTCTGCAGGACTCCAACAGTCTGCCCGAGACAGATTCATTGGGCAAAGCACTGTTTGCCTCACATCCAGCCTGCACGGCTGTACTGTCAATGCTTAACTGGAGCCAAGGTGCCCGCTGCATCAGGCGGGCGCTCATCTGCAACCTCCTCCAGGGCCTCCTGCATCCGTAGCGAAATCGCTTCGATGGCGTTGGAAAGCACTTGTAGTATTACCCCTCCCGCACGCAGTCCGATTGGGTTCCACAGATCGAGGAACTCAATCACGACGCAATGCTCGGCCAACCGTGCTATTAAAACGAGATAAGCGACCGCGTGCATAAACCCTTTTCTCTGGCAACTGTCTCACGTTCATGCCACACCGTCTCATGTACGGGCGGAAATCGACAAGACGTTGTTCTGCAGATAGTCTTGAAGTCTAGCGAGTCTCTAGTCCAGATTTTCCAGTCTGTTGAGCAAACAAAGACCTGTGAGGATGAACCGACGGAACACCCCAGGGTCGCCCTCGTGAAACTTTGTCATACTTTTTCAAACTGCCGATATCGAACAGGGCGTTTGAATCAGTTGGCGGATGTTGGCGGTTCCCATTTACGGAATGCACCAGCACGCCTCAGGAAGATTTCATGCCCTGTGACCCTGTTCAACTGAAACAGGGTAATCTTTGAATGCTGCAACGCCGCACGTCCACAGTGGATTTGAGCCTTCCAGCATCGACAATCGAACGGCTTAGGTGGAGAAAAAGCAAAGGCGACTCTGCGGGGCTTGAAGGAGCGCCGTCCCGGATTCGGGGTCTCCGCAAAAGGCTGGGCCGGTGTGAGTACGCACAAGAGCCGCGAACCCTCAGGCCCGGAAGTTCCCAGAAGTTTGATCCTCCTGGATCGATGCCAGCAGATCCTGCGTCATGGCTGAGGAGAAGCTCCTGACACAGAAAGGTTCGAACTGAACCCAGGCTCGCGGCATGATTCCCCGCCTCGGCTCTCTCTTGGAGGAACACTTCTTCAGTAAAGATGTCCGCTGAAATGCTGCGTTTTGGTAGTGCTGGAAGCGCAGCGCCTGAATTGGTACCGGAATCTAAAAGGCCCAAGTGCAAAGAAGCGTGGCCTTCTCCTGCCGGCGTGTCACTGGGATCGTTGAGAGCGGCTCCGGCACACGGGCATACTTGGATTTCATCCTGAAGCTCAGAAGAGACATAGTGACAGACGGCCGCTGGGTCACTGCCTGCCATCTTTGCCGTACATCTTGTTCCGGGCCCGGGTCTGCGTGCCTTTGCCTCAGAGGAGCGGGGCATGAGAGCACTTTAGGGTCGAACGGCGATTGGTGGTTGCGGAAGGTGACCGCAGGTGGCCTTGAAGGGATCCGGGAATTGAGGACCTTCGGGCCTCGGACAGCCTGAACATTGAATCGGGGCTTGTCAGCCGCACCCAGCAGCTTCTTGGCCAGATGAAGCATCTGCGGTGTTGCTCGACATCTCAAGACTTGGGGGAGGGGGCGGGAGGCGATAGAATTGCTGTTTGCGACCAGGCGACTAGCAGCTTTCCTTCGAAGATCCTGCGCGGCAGCCATTGGCTTCATTGGGTCATGGTTTTACTCTTGTTTGGTCGCTCTGTCCTGCCGGACAAAGTTTGCACCGAACGGGACCTCAGCCCGGAAAGCAAGGTCTTCCGGACAAAGGATCTGCATGTTTTTGCTCGTGTCCGTTACTCCGACTTAGGCTTAAATCAGAACGGTACCTGCAGCATAAGTATAAAAAGGATCTGTGAGCAGGCTTTATTGCTCCCAAGTTCGTCGACACCACAAAAAATGCGCATCTCTCCTGACCCAGCAAATAGGTGTGAGCCCATAGGTTTCGTCTCACTGTCATTTTATGCTGGCCCTGTACATGCAGTTCGAGTGAAAGCATCCTTTTGCACATGAAAGCGCCATGATCGGCGAAGCGAAGGACCCTGACTGTGTTGTGCAGAACTCCCTCGTTCATGCTTCCGCTTGGTGCCTAGGACCTCCGACTCTGCTTTGAAGTGCTACGAATCGGCTGCAGTGCCTGCACAGCTTTTTGCTTCCCCCCGTACACCAGAACGAGGTACCAGTAGCAAAGTCAACTGATTGTCTCCGCTAGAGTCATGAGAGTGAATTTCGTCTGACGGAACTCTTCCCCAGCCCTGCAAACCCAATGACACATCTTCACAACTTTTCGGCATACACGCTGTTTAGCCACCAAATCGGCAGTAATGTGGCAGTGAGCTGGGCTCGCGGCCAAACTGCTGTCACCTCCTGGCACCTCTGCATTCGTCTTCTTCGATGCTTTCGCACCAGATTTTGCGGAAGGAGCCTCCGCAACCAGACGTTGACCGGAATCTAAGCCTTCTGCCTCAAATTGAAAACTCTTCAAGTTTTGCTTGCACAGACCACAGGAGCTTTCGCGGCCTTGCTGGTCTTCGGCTTTACTTTGCTTGGGCTCTTGGGAGCTTGTGAGCGCG